ATTGGTTGGTCGAATCAGCTGAAATAGGGCTGTTTTCTACAGCGAAAACCTTTTGCATCTCCCGGGCCTGTGGAATTAACCAGCGTTCTGTCAATCATCAAGCTCCTGATTATCCGGTGTTTGACGAATCTGAGTGCGCCATCCTAGGTGATAGTTGCCTTTGTGACGGCAATAAGATCTGCTGGTCTCGATTATATACAGCTTTCACCTAGTCGAGTTAGATGACCTGGACAAACAGTTCTGAAAGTATTGTTTCTGTAACTTGTCTCCATTCAATACCAAAACAATCTTCGCCATTCGCATTACGACACGTTTGCAGTAGCTTTCTAGCCATATCGGCTCGATACTCTTCAGCTACCGAGACTTTTCGGAGCTGATGAACGGAACTGCTCTCCTTTGGCAGGCGTAATGCTGACGGAAAACGAAGTGTCAACCGGGCCCGCACGATGGCGTGTTCAGAGTCAAATTGCGTACCCCGGAAGGAACGACAATTCTTAACTGCTCAGCATCGACTTCAAATCTACCACCTAATTGTGCTTCTTCCGGACTTAGTCATCAAACTTGGACATTCATATCACCCGCCAGGATTACTATATCCGGCACTGCATTGTACGATGGGTGGGGAGGGGGTGCGGAAGAAGGCTGATGAGCAAAGGGCCGCAAGGGTGAATGATACTTCCTGGTAGCCTAGACCGAAGAGAGTTTGGTTGAAGTACCCCACCTTGAGCCTTTGACTCAAAAACCTGACCCACAAGGCAGTGGAAAGTTGTAGGGTTTTGCTCGGGGACTCTGCCCCTAGCCTGACTCAAAAGTCTGACCCACGAGGCAGTGGGAGAATGTAGGGTTTTCTTTGGGGACCCCGCCCGGAGCCGGTGACTCAATAGTCTGACCTGCTCGGCTGCAGGGCGTTGGCCTAACCCGAGGGCGCAGGGACTAAGGCATTACTGTCTCATTCCTGATTAGGCTGCGCACAGCAGGTGCCTTTTGAGCAGCACTGGGCTCTTTGGCTTTAAAAGTATTTGAACCGTATTGGATAATGCGCCGGCGGTCACGGTCAACCGTTGGGCGATCGGAGTGTGCGGTTTTTTTTTTGGGGGGGGGCGACCTTTTCTAACCCGTCCTTCCTCGGGGGAAGGCAACGTCGCTGCTTCCATAAATATGGACATGCTGGTCGCCTGGGGGAACACCTTACTGCCATCACACCTGTCGCAGAGGACAGTACGACTTTACCCCCAGACCGCCTCGTACCACGATTACTCGTAGTGCGGGGTCTCGCTGCTCTTGGTCTGGCTGCTCCCCTTTGGCCTTCCTGGCATGGTTGTACCTTGCGGAACGAAGTTCCAGCCAGTGTAGCCCGCGGGATCATTGCGGCACTGAAACCCGACCACCACGTCAAGGTGGCAGCTTTAGGTCGGGACCTCGTAATATGATTTCTCGTAGTTCGGAGCCTCGCTGCTCCTCATCGGACTGCTCTCCTTTGAGCTTACTGGAGTGGCTAAACCCTAAGGAACTGAGTTCCAGTCATGTAGATCACAGAATCATCACAACACTGATGCTTGACTACCGTTGCTCAACAGACACAGACCGTATAATCTGATGATCAGCGAAACCATACGCAGCCTTCAAGTCAAGAAATACCGCGATCGTGAGCTTGCGAAAACAACGGCGCTCGTCTAATACTTGTTGGGAGGTGAAGGTTGTGTGCCACCTATTAGGACGGGCCTCTTGTAGGGTGAGGCTAAAGAACACCTTGGATGCTACAGATATCGGACTGATACCATTATTACTCTTCCACAGCGGTTGCGTACCGCTTTTAAAATAGAACGACATTCGTGAAGTGTTTCCTGTTCGCTCCAGAACTTCGTCATACAAATCACCAGATTTGCTTTATCTTTCTTAATTAGGATAAAGCACAATCCCCATGAAACTAGTTCGTTTTCGCGTCTCACTTTTTCTCTCCAACAACATGTTCCTCTATCCCACTCACCTGCATGAATTGCTTACAAGGGCAAGGGTGCTTTACCTACCTTCCCGGACTGCGTTTTCGCGAGTAAGTTTCCGGACCTTCACCACTGATAGTGTCGCTGACGGTAAATTTCTCGTCCCAGTCGGTCGAATCAGATGATTCAGGTTACGGTTGCTCGTGGATTCCGGGTATGAAGTAAATGCCATCTGATCTGGGTAGGATTGCTGGGCGAACTGTATGAACCGGCCACGGACTCATTTCTCGCATACCATCATCCTCACCGGGTACTCCCAGATACCATCGATAAAGTAACACTCCAAATACTCGTCTGGATTGGAGTGGACATCCTAGAGTCCATCCGTTGACCTCTCTCTCTTGTTTCTTGGTGAATCCTGCTATCAGATCAGCATGTACGTCTGTCAACGATACCCCCATTCGTGTTGGTCTTGCAAACACAAAAAGCTGCGTTTGCCAGCCCAGCTAACAGTATCTTTTGGTGGTCAAATTGCAGTTGTCTCCTTTCAGCCCATTGCATCTTGCGATTGTCTCTAGTCAACTAACCAGGTCTCGGTGTCTTCATCAATGAACCATGTGCTCCACAGTAGTTTTTGGTCCTGGTGACTGCACCAATGTAGTGAGAAACCGGGCAATTGATCAACTGTTTATTCGCTTGCACACCCTAGCTCATAGGCGATTGTTTGTATACCGTCTGAATTCGGAATCTTACGAACTCCAGAATCGCCCCCTTGTTGCGCGTGTTTTCTTGATGAGGCGATACAGTACAGTGGGATAGGCACTTATGCGCATATCTCCAGTTCGTACAGATCGATCGTTCGCGTTCATGACTTTGGGAAGCCCTCTGTTCCAGTCAGTCCTTAACTTTTATTGTTGGACGGTTATGTGCTATTTATTGGTTTGCCATCACTTCGCGTCTCCTAATTTAGCTCCTGATCTGCTGGCTGACATCTTGATGCACTGATTTGATAGCTGTTGGTGGCGGCTTTATCCCCAGGTCTCGTCCATCGCTCCATTCCTCACACTAAGCACCAATACTTCATTGGCGTATTACCCTAATTTGTCTGAGACCTTTGTTGTAAAAGAATATGGGTTTCTTATCACATTCGTTAGTCAGATGCCAGTTTCTCTTTTCTTGGATTGTTTATTGATCCCGCTTCGCTCCTCCGATTTCAGGAAATCAATTGGTCCGACGTCTTTCACCGTCGCCTGCGACCACCATTTCGGCCTAAACTCGCTGCAGATAACGATGTTTCAATGTTTGATCCTACATTCACACGATTGCAGCCTGTTGTCAGCCCGGCGGAGAATAGCCGACCGATTCCACCGGATATGTTCCAAGTTAGTCTTTTTGTTTCGGCTTCTAGTACAGCACTTTCTACTCCACTCCTCTGTACCATCGAGTATATTCGGAGTCGATGAGTTTCTTCTAGACCTGACAACTCTGCTGAATTAGTTTTATGGAGCCTAGATGTGGCTGAGTAGTAGAGCATCGGTGGTCCTTGCTTTTTTTCATCAACACGTGCTGTTCGATTGTAATGCGGGGGTAGCGAGATAGCTCTGGTAAGAGCGCCAATTCACTGACCGGAAGGTCCATGATTCGAACCCGACCTCTGCCTCTCAACTTCTGTCTAAGCTTGAGCAACCTGGCAGTATCCCAACCCTCTTGCTCCCTTCTGGTGGCATGACAGGTAGACACCGAAAGGGTGTTACAACCGAGCGATTGTAACAGTTCAGTAGATAAGGAATAAACGATTGGTTGGAAGCTCCGATCCCGACCTTTCGAATGCTCTCCTCTAGGCTTCTGACAATGTGGCACTATATCAACTATATCACGCTTTCTTCGACTTCTGTCGAAGGTTGTCACAAATTATCGGCCATTTTTGTGTATCCGCTTACTGAAAAAAATGGTAGTTCATGCTGTATAGGTTGCTACTGATGTGTTCGGTAAACGTGGTCGCGGATGTTTCACAACTTAGTCAACAACCGGAGTGATCTCGGTTTGCAACTGGTTGTGATTTGGTGACGTATCCTTTCCGTCACGAAGAGACTGGACCTTACCGTGGTGTGACGGTTTGCGCACCTCAGCGACCCTTTGAGCTATATTGGGGGCGTCCCCGCGACACTCTCTCATGCCAGACTGGTCAATGGTTAGAGGCCTGACAAACACGGTTTCATGGTCGTCCAGGTTGGGGGTTGGAACATGTGGCAACTTGTTCCGCAGAAATGGTAATGGACTTACGTTCCCCGCCAAACACCGCTGCCTTGCGGTTAGGCTTTTGCGTCAAAGGTTGTGGTTAAGGACCCTAATTGTCCTTCTGTCTGGGTATGGACGCTCTGACAATATCCCAGCCCGCGTACAACTATGATACCTACGTCTAACAAACTCATGCCACATCGGCCGTCGCGTGGTGCCGACACCCGGGTCGCCTTACTCGCTGCATACAGTAGGGTGGGTAAGAGAAAACAGCCTACTGCTGACGCCTCCTTTCTTCCTCTTTCACATACTTTTCTTCCCCTCTCCCCACCACGATAACTATCCCCTTGTAGGCCCAGCACTTAGGACTGATGACTCCATTCGTCTTGCATCAGTTTTGCGTACAGCATCTACCCGTCACGTGGCACCAACATTCTCAGGTATCTCCGAATCAATCGTGAAGCCTCAACACTCAGTCTATCTGCCCCCCCTTCAGTGTCCGCACTCTGAAGCAAGCAGGACAACAAGCTGCTCTTGCTCTCACATTGGACTCGCTTGGCATTGATGTGTGCTGTCTCAGAAACAAGAATTCAAGATGCCAGCAGTGATTGAGCTAACCGCTCCATCAGTCTATACTCGCTTCCGTTTACGTACCTTTGGCGATCCAGAGGTTACTGCGGCGGGATGTGCAGGGGTTGGTGTCATCCTAAGTCACTGGGCGGGAGGATCCTTGCTTGACTGGATGCCTGTTGATAGTCGCCTCTCTGCGGTTCGTCTGGCGGCAAATTGATAGATGTCTGTTTAACGTGTCTGCCAACTGACTGTAGCTCCGACGCCCTCAAAGACAGGTTTTACGACGCCCTGGATGCCCTGCTGCGGCGAGCTAAAAGCTCAGATATTGTTGTGGTTGCCGGAGATATGAATGCACAAGTTGACAGGCTTATTGCATCTGAGACTCAATTAGGAGGTCGACATGGATTGGACTCGGTACGTACGGACAATGGGGAACGATTGCTTCAGGTGTGTGCTGATCGCAGGCTGTTTTTATGCAGTACGAACTTCCGAAATAGCCGAAGTCGGCTGGCCACTTGGTGTCCTCCAACGGCAGGCCGGCCACAAACTCAAATCGACCACATTGTCATCAGTTACTGATGGCGCGGATCCATAACTGACTGCCGGTCGTTTTGGAACACATTTGTGGACTCTGACCACGCGCTCGTCCGGAGTCGCTTCTCCCTACGTTTCCCTGGGCCGCGTAGAGTGCAGACAAATGGCCTGGCAACTGAAAGACTGGCAGATCCGGATGTCAGACTACCTTACCAGAATCATCTTCTAGAGTCTCTTCCAAATGCTCCATCACCAGATGTGGACTCATACGGGGACGAAATTGCCACCCCTTTGCATAGTGCTGGGAATTTTGCCTGTGGCATGACCCAACCAGGCGTACTCAAGCACTGGGCATCAGACCGAACGGTGACTGCTTAAATCTCGGAGAACTATCCCAGCCAGTCACGAACACAACCCGGTGCGAAGAGTTACCAGACGTCAAGTGAAAGTGAGCATGCGAGTCGACCGTGAAGTGTGGTGGACACAGAGAGCCAAGGAAATGGAAGAGGTTCAGAAAGCCGGTAATACCCGAAGATTATTTCAGTTGATCCGTGCAACTGGTTCCCGGAAACCACCTGTGAGTGAAACCATCAAGCATCAGAATGGAACGACCATCTCGAATAAAGAAGAAAGCCTTGATCGGTGGGCTGAATACTTTGAACAACAAATGTCTTGGCCACCAGCCGGCACTCATCTACAGCCCACAGGTGAAGTAGAACCCTGGACGGTGAACGTGGAACCACCTACGGCCTCAGAGGTTTACGACTGCATATGTTCTCTCAAGCGCCACCGAGCTCCCGGTCCGGATGACCTTCCACCTGCACTGTTCAAAGACGGGGGTGAAGTCCTCAGTCAGCGCCTGTCCGACCTGTTTGCTTGCATTTGGGAAAAGGAGTCTGTCCCAGACAACTGGGGAGAATCGGTGATAGTGCCCATTTTCAAAAAAGGGGCGCGTAGTGAGTGTGGTAACCACAGGGGGATCAGCTTGACCCCGGTTGTAACGAGACTGTTGGCGTCAATTGTGCTTCGTCGCCTTACGGTGGCTCGTGAGATGCTGACTCGAGAGCAGCAAGCGGGATTCCGGCCTGGTAGGGGTTGTGTTGACCAAATCTTCACACTGCGTCAGGTGCTAGAACAACGCCATACGTATAAGCGACCCACGATTCTAGTATTCCTGGATTTCCGAGGCGCATTCGACTCGGTTGATCGGTCTGTTCTTCTTGAGACGCTTGCCCACCAAGGAATGCCCCGGAAGTTTGTAAACATAATACGTTCTTTGTATTCTCAGACTTCCGGACGTGTGAGAGTGTACGGAGGGCTCTCCAAAAGCCTCCGTACACAAAGCGGTGTCCGTCAGGGATGCCCACTCTCTTCATTTCTTTTCAACTTCGTGATCGATGAAATAATGAGACGAACGCTGGAGGGTCTCCAAAACCCTGGTGTTCAAATAGCCTGTGAAGAAAACCTTGTCGATCTGGAATATGCAGACGACATCGTTCTCATGTTCGAAGACAATGCGCAGGTGTTTTTGGATGAACTGACTAAAGTCATCCTGTCCTTTGGTATGCACTTTTTTCCCACGAAGTGTAAGCTTATGCTCGTGGACGTGCAGTCACTGAACACGCCACTTACAGTCCATGAAGAGGTACTGGAAGTTGTGGAGCGTTTTACTTATCTTGGAAGTTGTATTAGTTCTGATTTCAGTGTGACAGATGAGGTGAATGCACGAATCTGCAATGCTCGGGTCCTGTTTGCTAATTTGGGACACCTATGGCGTCAGAGTGGTGTGTCCCTGAATCTGAAGGGACGTGTGTATCAAGCTACAGTGGCTGTGAGACTTGACCTGTTCGAGCAGCGGAACTGAGACGTCTTTAGGTGTTCGACAATCGTTGCCTCAGAACCATAGCTCGTGTGGGTTGGTGTTGGCGTATCCGTAGCGAGGCAATTAGGAAGCGAGTTTTCGGTTGCGCAATGGGTACTTCCACTGAAGAATGTGTCCAGCATCAGAAGCTGTGTTGGTTGGTACATGTGTTGCGTATGCTTAACCATCGTTTGCCGAAGAGAGTGCTGTTTTGCATGCTCAATTCAGAGTGGCGGAAGCAGAGAGGTGGCCAAC